GGCCCCGGCTCCCCGGTACTCACCCATGTTGCTGGCCACCGACACCTCCATGAAGTTGGGGCAGAAGACAGCGTAGTCGAATTGGCAGGGCTGTGGGGAGAGGGAGGGTCAGCGCTGTGGGAGCCCTCAGGACCCCCCCGTGGGATTTCCACTGGGACCAGTCCCACACCAGCAGGGTGACGGGGGTTTGGTCCAGGGAGGGGGTGATCCGAGTGCCCCCCCCTGCACCCAGGGCTGCGAGACCCTTGTGGGGGGCACAGAGGTGGGGTACAACCAGGGACAGCAGGGTGGACAGACAGACAGACAGCACAGGGCATCAGCTCCACCTCGTGGCTCCCTGCACCCACAGCAAAGCAGATCCCAGCACAGGCAGAGAACCCAGGCGCCCGGGCGCAGTGACCCCCTCCACGGCCCCCCCAAAACCTCACCAGCAGCAGCTTGAGCAGCGCCGCCGTGTCCCGGTCCCCTGTGGCGTTGAAGAGCAGCACGCGCACCTCAGAGCCGCTGCGGGGAGAAAGCGTGGGTGGTCCGTGCCCCGCGGGGACCCCCAGCGCCACCACCGCACCCCACCGAGCGCATCCCCCCTTCTGTCTCCTCCTTACTCGTGGGGCTTGTCCTGGTTGAGGGCAGCCTGGCGGAACCAGCGGACGCAGGCCTGGACGCTGCTGGTGGTGTGGGCCCCGTCCAGGTACCACGTCACGGGGCCGTGGGGCAGCACCTGGGTCCGGCCCAGCCACTCTGTGTCCCGCAGGCCTGGGGGGGAGAGCACAGGGCATGGCTGGGACCCCCACACCCCCCTCCAGCACCGGGACCCCTGCAGGGATCAAATGCGGGGCGGGCAGCCAGGCTGTGCCCTCTGGCCCAGGCAGCAGTGGCCGGGGGCCCAGCGTGGCCCCCCCGAGCCCTGCAACATGACGGGGCGGGGGGGTCCCGGCACAGCCATACTGCACCTTGGATCATGGCATCCGTGGGTTGAAAGGCGGGCGCCAGAGGCACCGGCCTCCCCGCCAGCTCGGCGCCTGGCGGCACCTCCTTCAGCTCCCCGAGACCTGAGGGGGGACGGGCACGCCGCTGAGACCCCGGGGGCCACGGCGGGGGCCGGCCCCCCCGTCCCCATGCCCCCACCTTACCCTGGCAGCCGCGGCACTGCAGCCATGACCGCGCCAGCTGCAAGGCCAGGGCGGCGTTGGAGCGCTGGTGGGTGCCCGCCAGCCCCAGCTCCAGCACCCGGTGGCCCCCCTCAAAGGCGTCCAGCTCCGGGCAGAGGTAGAGGGGACACTGCAGGGAGAAGAGGCTGAGCCCCCCACCATGGGGTATCCCCCCATCCACCTCCCTGGAGACCCAACTCACCTCCCGTTCCTGGGCTCGGTCCCTCAGCACCTCCAACGGCCGCTCCGGCTGCGCCACGGTGAATGCCGGCACGCCAGGCTGCGAAGGACAGGGGTGCTCAGGGCCGTGGGGGAGCACACCCCAAAACCACGAGAGGGGGGAACTGGGTGTCCCTACCTTAAAAATACCCCCCTTCTGCCAGGCGATCTTCTCCATGGTGTCCCCCAGGATGCTGGTGTGGTCGATGCCCAGGGAAGAGACCCCACACACCACTGGCGCCCTGGGGACGCAGTGTGGCAGTGTCCCCGCTGTCCCCCCGCCGTGGGGACACCAGACCCTGGCGCCCCAGGGGACAGGCTTGGCCCCACCAGCTCCTACCTGATGATATTAGTGCAGTCGTAGGCACCGCCAATGCCAACCTCCACCACCGCCAGGTCCACCTGGGGACAGAGGGACACCAGAGCCATCACAGGGCTGCCAGCAGCACGTGTCCCCATGGATTTGGGGATGTGGGTGGGGCCACCACCCCTCCAAACCTGTGCCTGAACATGGGGGGGACCATCCACCGGGCACAGCATCCCCTGGTTACAGCCACAACA